AAAAAATGCTGGGTTGTTTCAACCCAACTTTGGGTCAAATATGGACTAACCCAACCGTTGGGTTAAATTTTTACATTAAATTTTTAACCCAAAAGTTGGGTTAGTCCATATTTGACCCAAAGTTGGGTTGAAACAACCCAGCATTTTTTAGAGTGTAGTTTGCTCAATTTTTGTTTTTCTGGTTTTCAGGTTGCTGTCAAAACCGTCCATATGATCCAGGAGTTTTGCTCAGTTAAAATGATTGACATTTAATCAGAAAATGAAAGAACAATAGGTTACATCAGTAGCATTTTGCATTAATGTTTCATAAGGATGCCCACTGCACTGCCAAACAGAGGAGCAGCGATAGCAAAGCAAGACTTTTTGTGGCACAGCCGCTCATGCAGGGTGCAGACGGGATTACTTTGAGATCAGGAAGTGTCCCTTTATTGTGTGATCCGTTGTTCTGGAAATACACATGCAAAAGAGCATCAGGTAAACACAGCTGTAGTCAGAGCAGAAGCAGTTAAGTTTGAAAGCTTCATATTGTGGAGGAGTGGACACTTACATTTGAGTTTGTGACCACGACGAGCTGGTCGATTCTCTTCAGTGTTTGTTGGTATTGATTGATAGACATGTCATTCCAAGTCTTCATGAACATCATATTGACCCAATTACTGCAAAGTTAACAAATAAAAGCTGCATTATCATTAGGACAAATATTAAAAGGGAAACTCATTAAAACAATCAGTGTTTTAAATTAAATTACGCAGTATCGTTTGCTCCCATCTCAGATATTAAAGTAGCTGCATTAGGGAGGCTTATACAGCTGCTCAGATTCATCGCTGGATAGTAGAAGAGGAAGGCCAAACACATCTCATCTGAAGTTGAGAGCCCCCCCTGCGGGCAGATAAAGGGAGTTTTACACATCTATAATCTTTCTTCTGTGTTTTTAAGTATTACACAAATAGAGTGCTGCAGGGATGATGTATTTTTGTTGGCCAATCCCAGAAACCGGCATTTTAGCACTTCCAGTTCCATTGTCCTGATGTCAGTGGGTTTTTTGAATGGGTTTTTGGTTAAATGCCTGATATGAGGTCTTTGGTTAACACAAGCTCAAGATATTTTCATGTTTTATTCTACAATGTAAAATACATCGGTAATACACCTTTGTAATTTTTTTTAAAGCTTTTGTCTTGAAAAAGGCAGTAACTAACAAGTGGTTAAATGGGACTACAGAGATCGTCTGGGACATTGAATGGTGAACAGGTAAACTCATCTACTCCAATAGTTCATTTTTACAGCCTCACTGTGTTTATAAACATGCTTTTGCAAACTATTCTAACTCAAACTTTTAGGGAAATTTTTTTTTAAATAAAGACTGAAAGAGTTGTCAGAAGCGTAATGGCAGTAATGTTAAAGTTATGTGACCATGGTGTAGTTCTTTTATAGCCTACATTAGCTTTTTACTTCTGGCGATTGTATTTAGGCTTAGAAATGAATGAATGTTGTGTTCATTTGTGAAAATTATCATGAAGAAACAAAGCTTGTAAGAATCAAACTTTTGTTAGCTACAGATCTTATTTTCTGCAATAATCCAAAAGTCAATGGAAAAAATCCTATTGGGTTTTAGTCAAGGGAACCTGGGTGATACCAACTTCCAGTTTGTCCTACAAAATTACTTCACTGCAGCACGCTATACTTTATGGCTGTTCTATGTTTTTACTGGATAGCAAAAAGGAACCTATAGGAAAAGTGTGAGAAACAGGATCAGGAAATCTCATAAATATGATTAAACCTCATACACATTTCTGGAACTGAACATATGAAAACATATGTGCACCCACCAGGCTCTGACTTTTAATATAATCTGGATTTTAAGATAATGAAAATCAGTGAAATTTGAAGATACATGCTATTGTAGAAAAGACAATATGATCCTCTGTGTAAATGTACCAACCCATGTGAGTGTGCTGCGGTTTTCAGTATTATAGGTGCACTCCACCAGCAATTTGTCACCCTGAAAGACCAAAAAGTTGCTTTATTTCATTTATTGCCAATAATTATATACTAATATATATATATATATATATATATATATATATATATACAAAGTGAAATTTGGTCAAAGAGGCCCCATATGTGCTTCCCCATTCAGAACCCACATAGAGATTACCCATGTGGGTTCTACCTTGGGCCCATGCAGGCAGCCTATATGGGACTGATTGTGTTAGCCCTTGTCTGACCCATATCGGTTGGCCAAGCAGGCCCCATATGTGTTTCCCCCAGTGTTGGGTAAGTTACTCAAAAAAAGTAATCAATTACTAGTTACTAATTCCATCTTCAACAGTGTAATTAGATTACTGTACAAATTACTCTCCCCCAAATTTTTTTTATTACTAATTACTTTTTCTAAATCCTATATCAACCTTGACAAGTTAATGATACAGGGATAGACATGAAATGGTTAATTTAATTCTCTCAAGTAAATACATATATTTAGATTATGGTCCAATTCTCACTATTAACTAATTATTAACTATGACTTTTGCCTCAAAATTCTCCTATTTACTGCTTATTAATACTCAGTAAAATAGTTGTTAAGTTTAAGTATTGGGTAGGATTAAGGATTGTTTAAATTTGGCTTTTGCTATTGTGCATTGCATATATTTGATATTTATGCTTGAAATCATTAAAAACCTTTTTCAAACCGAAATCATTAAAAACCTTTTTCAAACCTTTTAACACTTACCAACTTCACTGTCTTAGTTTTGCCCAAATTTGTCACTTCTTGATATTCAAAATCATAGTTTTCATCCACAGCTAGAAAATCGATCTGTTTACCTCCTCTGAAGAGGTAAAAAAAAAAAAAAAAAAGAAAAAA